CTCTAAATCACCAACAGAAACCTACCCTAACTCGCCAACAGAAACCTACCCTAATTGTCATTAAAAACTGCCCTAACTCACCAAGAGAAACTACTCTAAATCACCAACAGAAACCTACCCTAACTCGCCAACAGAGACCTACCCTAATTTGTCATTAAAAACTGCCCTAACTCACCAACAGAAACCTACCCTAATTTGTCATTAAAAACTGCCCTAACTCACCAACAGAAACCTACCCTAATTCACCAACGGAAACCTACCCTTACTCACCAACAGAAACCTACCCTAAGTCACCAACAGAAACCTACCCTAACTCACCAACAGAAACCTACCCTAACTCGCCAACAGAAACCTACCCTAATTTGTCATTAAAAACTGCCCTAACTCGCCAACAGAAACCTACCCTAATTTGTCATTAAAAACTGCCCTAACTCACCAACAGAAACCTACCCTAATTCACCAACGGAAACCTACCCTTACTCACCAACAGAAACCTATCCTAACTCACCAACAGAAACCTACCCTAACTCACCAACAGAAACCTACCCTAACTCACCAACAGAAACCTACCCTAACTCACCAACAGAAACCTACCCTAACTCGCCAACAGAAACCTACCCTAATTCACTGACGGAAACCTACCCTAACTCACTGACGGAAACCTACCCTAACTCGCCAGCAGAAACCTGCCCTAACTCGCCAACAGAAACCTACCCTAACTCACCAACAGAAACCTACCCTAATTCACCAACGGAAACCTACCCTAACTCGCCAACAGAAACCTGCCCTAACTCGCCAACAGAAACCTACCCTAACTCACCAACAGAAACCTACCCTAATTCACCAACGGAAACCTACCCTTACTCACCAACAGAAACCTACTCTAACTCACCAACAGAAACCTACCCTAATTCACCAACGGAAACCTACCCTTACTCACCAACAGAAACCTACCCTAACTCACCAACAGAAACCTATCCTAACTCACCAACAGAAACCTACCCTAACTCGCTAACAGAAACCTACCCTAACTCACAAACAGAAACATACCCTAACTCACCAACAGAAACCTACCCTAATTCACCGATACCTCCCAAAACTTAGTAACAGATACCTGCCTACCTTGATAACATATACTCGAACACACATCTACACCCACCTATTAAATAAATAAATACTTGCCTAACTTGTCTACAGAAACTTGCCTAACCTACCAACCGAAAGAGATCTGCCTAACTCACCAACTGGCTTTGACTTATCAAATACAACATACACATTAACCTTCCGTTTCTGGCTTTTTAAAGAAAGAAAAAGATGAATACTTCTCTGTGAAACCTATCCATAGTGGTGCAATGGTTAGTCCTGACAGTTCTGGATCTCATGAGAACACTTCTGAGCTGAGTCATCCTCAATCTGATGATCGTCTTTCTGAATCAAGTAGTGATGATAGTGAGTCTGATAGTGATGTAAGTAAACTGTCAACATTACATGTTATATATATTAGTAGTCATTATGACTTAAATGAAATTCTATGACTGTGCGACTGACTCGTACACAGAAGAATCTATATTTATGTGCTTCCAACTTTGTAATATATGCAAACTCCTCCCAACATTAGGCCAAATAAAAATGAGTAGTGCGTTTTCGGTAACCCGACGTTCCCTAAAATTTGTATGCTGACCCTGTATCTTTGTACGACTAAACTGAAAAGTGGCCACTAGAGGGTGCTCACTTCCTGTTTGTAGGAGCATGCTGGACAATTACTTCAAACAAAATTTGGGGTCTTACATTTGCATCATTATGCGTTGTTACAATTTCTTTTGCAAAAAATGGCAACATTTCCAAGAACATAGTTAGTTAGTTAGTTTAAATAAATAAATATTACAAAATAAAAAAACCTACCCTATTTTCATCAGAAACACACTACCCGGTAATTATTTTTATTAATGGGAAGTGTCTGTGTATACTGGTAATGCAAAGTGAGAATGGAAACTTCAAAATGAGGAACTAAATATACATTTTTAGGGTTGAGTCGTACAATAATAAAGACATTTCATCAAGGTTTTACTCATTACATCACCATGAAAAATGATTTGGCAACAATTTCTGTTTTGTCTAATCACCAAATCAAACATATTGTTGTAATCACTCAAGGCCACTTTACTTTATTTTAGGCAAGCGTTTCTAACCTTTTCACCACCAGACTTTCTCATCCAAATTTGTCCGCACTTCTTTTCTTGTATTCTTATATATTTCTGGAAATGAACCCTAATTTTAAAACCAACAGACAAAATTTGGATAAAATTTCAGTTTCTACTCAAAAAATTTGGCTACTTTTGTCCCAGTCTTCTGAAGAAAAGTGCAGACTATAAACGGGACTGTTTTGTGAATTTGTGATGAAAAGAGGGAACTGGTGGTGAAAAGGCTAAATATGATTGTAGGACTCTGTTGGATAGGATTTCTCATGAACTGTGATGCTCACATAGATTAGTGAGAGGTTTTCTTCAGATCATACATAGACAACTTTAATAACTTCTTTTTTTGCTAACTCTTTGGAGTAACAATACATGTG